TAGTAAACATTAAGACTCAGAGTTGCTCAACAGAGTTCTTTGCTTTCACCACTATTTCTCAGCCTTGGAGCTATTGATATTTTGGACTTGGATTCTCTGTTATGGGAATCTGTCCTGTGTCTTGTAGGGTGTTCAACAGAATCTTTTGCTTTTATCCACTAGAAGCCCACTACAACCTCTCCCCTAGTTGTTGAAAACTAAAATGTCTCCAGATGTTGTGAAATGCCCTGGTGGTAGGGGTGAAACTGACCCCCAACTGAGAACCACTTGAGTGTTCATCAGAATCCCCTGGAGGATTTGTGGAACACTGATGGCTGGTTCTTCTCTCTAGGGTGGCTCATATAGTAGGTCTGGGTTGGGGTTTGAGAATTTACATTTTCAGTAAGTTGCCATGTGATGCTGAAACTGCTGGCTCAGGTAACACCCTTTGAGAATTTCTGATTTCTGCCACCTTGCTTGCAAATAAACATGCCATCCCCTATAAAATAAAAGTAACAATAATATTGACATTTTCAGAACATGGAAAAAGACAGTGGAGTTCAGGAGTTTAGAAACAAGGCTATTACAAGAAATTGGGAGACAGCTGCAAAATTTGTGGTTTATGGATTGGATGAAGATATGGTTTATGCTTGGTCTTCCCATGTGGTGCTAGTGGTAAAGAACCCACCTGCCCAAGCAGGGGATATAAAAGACCCGGGTTCGATCCCTGGGTCAGGAAGATCCCCTGGAGGAGGGCATGGCAATGCACTCTAATATTCTTGCTTGAAGAATCCCATGGACAGAGAAGCCTGGTGAGCTATAGTCCATGGAGTCACAAGCAGTTGAACATGATTGAAGCAACTTAGCATGTACACACATGGTTTATGCTTGCTCTAAATTTAGTGATTTTTCTCAAATAATATTACTGTAAGGATGACCACAATGAAAAGAAACTGTCTCAAGAGAAATAATAAAGGTAATAGCAATGAATCTTATTAGTCTATGATGGATGTCATACATCTGTATTCAATTTTTTTTCCAAATTGCTCATTAAGCTTCCGATGATAAGTTTTATATAAATTTCCAGAGGCCACATAAGAAAAGTTACACTTTACTCTTCCCTTAGTGACACAGAACTTTTAATACCTTAACTAAATAATTTTTTTTGGAACAGCAGGAGACTGCTGAAATTATCGCTGTGTACATTTCTGCCAATCAGGAAAAGAATAATGAAAGAAATCTTTACTCTAATTTCAGTGGTTGGCTTCTATTTAATCTTCTAGGTTTACCAGACATGATGTAACTCGGCAGAGACATTTTTAGTAGTAATCGCTCTTTAGCACTAATCAGTGGCTGCCCTGCATGCCCGGTGACAATGTTTATTGTAACCAAATGAATCTGAGAAATAAAATGATTTATCCTCTGCACCAGCAGGCAACAAACAAAATCAATAGCCCTGTGCTGGCAACGTTATTTTATTGTTGTCTCCCTAATCTCCTCTACTCTTTTGCAATTACTTTTATTATCACTGCTCATTTAATGAGACCCTGGAGTTTGGAGCCAGATGGTGCAGTTAGTTAAATCTGGAAGGCCATAATAGAGTTGAGTTCAAACCAGGTTAAGAGTAACAGAATCACAAACCTTAGCAGTCATTATCTCATAGGGCATTGTTTTGTGTACGTTTTATGCACCAAAATCAGTGCAGGCTTCAAACAGAAAGACTGGGATTGAGGTTCAGAGAGACCAAGGGTGCTCACTCACTCATTCATTCATTTGCGCGTTTGTTCAACAAATATTTAATCATGTTCCTATTTGAGAGCTGCACTTTGACATCAACAAGACAGGCGTGGATCCTGCCCTATGGAACTTATAGTCTACTATGAAAGTGAAAGTGAAAGTCGCTTAGTAGTGACTGACTCTTTGCGAACCCGTGGACTGTAGTCCATGGAATTCGCCAGGCCAGGAAAGTGGAGAGAGTAGCCCTTCCCTTCTCCAAGGGGTCTTCCCAACCCAGGGACAGAGCCCAGGTCTCCTGCATTGTGAGCAGATTCTTTACCAGCTGAGCCACAGGGGAAGCACATGAATACTGGTGTTGGTAGTCTATCCCTTCTCCAGCAGATCTTTCCAACCCAGGAATTGAACCGGGATGTACTGCATTGCGGGCAGATTTTTCACCAACTGAGCTATCAGGGAAGCTCATAGTCTACTATAGGAGAAAGAAAATATCAAACAAACAAGCAAAATTACTGCCCCTTTTGTTAAGTGCTAGGAGGGAAGAAGCAGAGGGCTGAAGTAGGGGGAAAGGATGTGTGATGTTCAGGTGGGTGGTTAGAGAAGCTCTGCAGGGAGGCGTTATTTAAGCTGAAACCCAAATGGTGGGAAGATGTGCAGGTGAGGAAGCAAGAGAAATGTCCATGTCCTGTTGGAAGGAATAGCACAAGCCAAGGTCAAGGAATGGAAGTCGCTTGTCCTGGAGGAAATTCAAGGATACCTGTGTGGCTGGAGCCTAGTGCAGGAAGGAGCATGGCCCAACATGAGGCCCAACATGAGGCCATCCTTGGGGGACCCAAGGATGATGTGTGTGTGGGGAGGGTGGGCGGCAATGGGTATTTAGGCACTGGGATTTTCTGGGGATTTTAGACACAGGCTTTGTGCCAGTGTGCTGATGAATAAGACTTATAGGAAGAACACCTTTTGGGTGAGAGCATTAAATATTCATGATCCAGACTGTACGTAAAGTCAGAAGCACGAGTTTAACCCTTTGTGCAGAGGGCAGGGAAAGCAGAGGCAACATTTTGATTAATAAAGTTGGCTTGTGTAGTAGCAACAATTAAAATTTTGTATTGCTGCACTTTTTCCCTTTAAGGCACATCTTTCGTGTTGAAGCTACCCAGCATCTCTTCTTTCCTGTCCCCCCACCTCTTTTCCTCCTCTGTGTTGGTAACAAGGCCCGGCCTGACTCTGGCGAACATCACCTCCCCACATCAATCACATCCTTAGAAAATGGCTGCAGCCTTCTCCCCATGGTTTCCTGTCTGTTCTTTTTCTTCCTGTTCTGAGTCTCCATCTCTCCTGTTGGGATACTTCTGCATCTGTCAACCAAAGCAACACGTGACCACCTGGGAACCAGAGTCAGGAAGACTGAGCAAATTGCAAAGACCCCAGTATCTCCAAGAACTCTCATAGCAATTTATGCTTGTTGGCACTGACACGTGCCTTGTTGAAGCAGGGTGAGCTAGATGATTCATTTATTTAGATGTTCTCTGGACTTCTTGCCTTTTACATAGCAGATTCTAAAAAATATTTATTGAATTAAATTCTTGCCAGCAGTTCCTATTTATCAAGCAATTAATTTGCCAAGCATTCTCCCTAGAGTTTGTTATTTAATTTTTATCTGATGATTAATTTTACGTGTCACCTTGGCCATGGCACCCAGATATTTGGTCAAGCATTATTATGGATGTTTCTGTGATAATTTTTAGTGAGATTAACTCTTAAATCAGTGGACTCTGAAGAAGGCAGATTACTCTCTGTATTGTGTGTGGGCCTCATCCAATCAATTGAAGGCCTGAATAAACAACGACTGATCTCCCCATGAGCAGGAAGGAATTGTGGCAATAGATGGCTTTTGGAGTCGAGCTGTAACTTTCCTAGATCTTTAGCCTGCCACCCATCCTGCAGATTTTGAACTTGCAACACTCCCACCATTGCATGAGTCAACTCCTTAAAATAAATCTCTCTCTGTGCCTTCCTAAATATTAACATGCGTTTACATCTAAACATTTATGCCCATTTTATGGATGAAGAAGTTGAGGTTCAGAGGTGCTGAGTACCATGCCCAAGCATACATGTCTGACAAGCATGGAACCAGGATTCCGGTCCAGGTGTTTCTGAGCCCCAGAACAGTACAGCTTCTAAAGCATGAATTCAAGGACTGAGAATACCATGAATTACAAGTAACACAACATGTATTTACTGTAAAGAGTCTCTTCTTTTTAATGATTCACAAACTATCTTGGAATCTTATAGTGCATGAAACTCATCAACATGCAAATACCTTGTCATCCAGGTGAGATGCGAAAACAACCATTAGCAGAGAAGTTTGGTGGACATGAAGGCACATCACTGCTTTTTATTGCATGTGAACTTGCTTGGCATATTTAAATTCTGCTGGTTAAATTCTCTCGTTTAAAGTCACAATTTCCAGTGAGATTGTGAAATAACCACACATTTTTTTATGAACAGTCATCTTTAGAAATATGAGAGGGAACGAAACAGATAACATTTTAAAATTAACCACTTTGTGGAGATGCAAACATAGAGAACAGACTTATGGGCATGGCTGGGGGGAAGGAGAGGGTGGGGTGAATGGAGAGAGTAGAATGGAAACATATATACCACCATGTGTAAAATAGACAGCCAATGGGAATTTGCTGTGTGACCCAGGGAATGCAAATTGGGGCTCTGTAACAACCTGGAGGTATGGGAAGGAAAGGGAAGTGGGACGGAGTCTCAAGAGGGAGGGGACATATGTATACCTACGGCTGATCCACAGTGATGTATGGCAGAAACCAACACAATATTGTAAAGCAGTTATCCTTCAATTACAAATAAATAAATTAAAAAAAAATAACCATTTTGTTGAAGGTAAGATTACATCTCTCCTTCTAAAAATGAAATGAAATAAAGAGAAATAGACAGTCCATCTGGGTGAAATTAAAATAGAGAAAAACAAAGGCATGTGGAGTCCCCGCCTCTTGATGGCTTTTGCGGTGGGCTGAAGTCCCATGTTGAGGTCCAAACTTCAAAAGTGGCCTGCAACTGGACCTTGTCTGTTGGAAAAGCCAGAAGTAAATATTGATCCCAGGATCAATTGGTGTCTCTGTTGAAGCCGCCGTCTGCTCCAGTTGGAGAGACCAAGCCAGGTCACACTGATAAACAGCTGCTTTCAAGACAACTGGTTAGCCCCAAAGGCACAGAGACAATCTCCCTGTCTCTGCACTGAAATTGTTCTTCCCAGAATGGAGAAGATGGCGATGAAGATGTTGGTGATATTTGTCCTTGGAATGAATCACTGGACCTGTACAGGTACGGAGCTTGGGGCCCGGGGCTGCCTGCCCTTGATGATGTAGCTCCGCCTGGACCCTGCATCCTGACTCACTGGGTTCCCGTGTGCTTGTGTGCCCAGGTTTCCCGGTGTATGACTATGACCCGGCTTCCCTGAAGGAGGCTCTCAGCGCCTCTGTGGCAAAGGTGAATTCCCAGTCACTGAGCCCCTATCTGTTTCGGGCGTTCAGAAGCTCAGTTAAAAGAGTAAGTGCCTGTTACCTCTTCTCTATACTATTTTGTTTTTTTTCCTCTTGTTGTTTTTTGGGGGTACATATTAAAATTTTTCCAGTTTAAAAAGATAACAGCTACTCATCTCTTTCACATTCTTTTTTTGAGACAGAAAGGACTTAATCACAATTGTCATAAAGCTCTCGAAGCTACCTCGGATGCCTGATTCTTCTTGCAGTTTTCTTCCCTCTGGCCTCATTTCCTGTTTCCAGATGTTACCCTCTGCTTCTAGACCAAAAGTCCCCATGGTTCTTTCTGAGACGTTTATTAAAACCTGCTTGTTTATGAGAAATGAGGCCTTTTCAAGTTCAGCAGTTCTGCTCCTAATACTTATAGGAAATAAATTCTGGCTTTTGAGCCAAAGAAATCCACTTTCCTTTGTCAATTTGGTAATCGTCTGTTTCCTGTTAGCCTGGGGAAATGGGGAAAAGATGAATTTTCATGGGCTTCCAATGACTAAGACCATGATTGGCAAAGAAACAAACACAGAATTATCCTTCAAAGGAAATGAGAAACTAGACAGCAGTCGTCTCTCCCCTTGCTGGGTCCCAGGTGATTTCACCGCTTGCATATTGTCTTCTGCAAGGGGGAATAGAAATATCCTCCAGCAGAGTTAAGATTAAGATGAGAGGTGGGGAGCTTCTACAAGGTTCCAGGTCCTAAGAGTGAGAACTCCTTGCAGCCAGGCCACCTGGGAAAGTGGGAACCAAGGAGACGTGACCAGAGGTCCAAGCAATGCCTGTTTCCTCACAGAGGTCAGAGGGCCGCTGCTTCCTCTCCACCTTCATGCGCACCTCTCCCATCCCTCTGGGGTACCACCTTGTATGCATGTGTGCTCAGTCATGTTGTGACTCTTCGGACTATAGCCCACCAGGTACCTCTGTCCATAGGATTTTTCAGGCAAGAATACTGGAGTGGTTTGCCATTTCCTCCTCCAGGGGATCTTCCCAATCTAGGGATTGAACCAGCATCTCTTGTGTCTCCTGCATTGCAGGCAGATTCTTTACCACTGAGCTATTGGGGAAGCCCTGGGTACCACCATAGTGCTGTGAAGGGCACACAACTGCTGGCTCCATAGCTCCAGTCTCCAAATAAAATACCAATACATTCATCTTGACCCTGCTTCTTCAGAAAATGGCTCAGTTTGTCATTCCATATTCCCAGGAAATGTATCGAATTGTCCCCAGTTATCTTTTCTAATTGTGTCATAGGTCACGAAGATGATGCTTTAGCAAGGCACCTTGCCCAGAACTGGGCTGCTGTAGACAGGGTCAGTCACTTGGCCTGGCTGTCGCAGTGTGGAGACCCTGACATATGTGGTCAGCTGCTAAGCCAAAGGGAGAGTGCCTTCTGGAAGGGTATTGGACAAAATAAAGAACCTCTCCCTCCCTCACTGGTGTATTGGCTTCCATCTTTCGCATTTAATGAAATCCATGTGTTGGGGGGTGGGTATTGGTGTCCTTTTGCCAAGCTTGCAAATGGACAGTTTAGATTCACTTGTAATTTAGCTAGTGCTTGCTACAGAAGAAAGTTAGTAGTTAATTAAGTGACTAAGAGCCTGAGGACAGGTCCCAAGAGAACTAGTTACTGATACCATGGAAATCTGGCCAGTGGAGATGAGCTAGCATGAGGTGTCATCATCCAGAGCACATTCCAGAACATGGGGCCATCTTGGTATCAGACATCTGAGCCCAGACACACAGGCACCTGCAAATAAACACACCTATGTGTGGGATCCTTAGTGAGAGCACAAGTAGGAGATGCCCCTCCACTTCCAGTAGGCTGCCTTCTGTCTGGAATTCTGCCTAATTTTGTTTCTTTCCAGCCTTTTCTCATTATTCAAATTCACTGGCCAAGTTCCATCACCATGTCTCTGCCATGAAAACTTCCTTTCTTCTCCCAATGGAAGGAAAGCTCTCCCCTTTTGATCTGTCCTGGTGATGCTTCTTTCTTTTTAGAAGTGGCTCACGTTTTGCTTTTTATTGTATGTGTTCAGTTCAGTTCAGTCGCTCAGTCGTGTCTGACTCTTTGTGACTCCATGGACTGCAGCATGGCAGCCCTCCTTGTCCATCACCAACTTCCAGAGTTTACTCAAACTCATGTCCATTGAGTCAGTGATGCCATCCAACCATCTCATCCACTGTTGTCCCCTTCTCCTCCCACCTTTAATCTTCCCTAGCATCAGGGTCTTTTCCAGTGAGTCAGTTCTTCACATAGACAAAGTATTAGAGTTTCAGCTTCAGCATCAGTCCTTCCAGTGAACACCCAGGACTGATGTCCTTTAGGATGGACTGGGTGGATCTCCTTGCAGTCCAAGGGACTGTCAAGTGTCCTCTCCAACACCACAGTTCAAAAGCATCAATTCTCCTGTACTCAGCTTTCTTTATAGTCCAACTCTCACATCCATACATGACCACTAGAAAAACCATAGCCTTGACTAGATGGGCCTTTGTTGACAAAGTAATGTCTCTGCTTTTTAATATGCTGTCTAGGTTGGTCATAACTTTTCTTCCAAGGAGTAAGCGTCTTTTAATTTCACTGCTGCAGTCACCATCTGCAGTGATTTTGGAGCTCGCTACTGATTCCACTGTTTCCCCATCTATTTGCCATGAAGTGATGGGACCAGATGCCATGATCTTAGTTTTCTGAATGTTGAGCTTTAAGCCAACTTTTTCACTCTCCTCTTTTACTTTCATCAAGAGGCTCTTTAGTTCTTCTTTGCTTTCTGCCATAAGGGTGGTGTCATCTGCATGTCTGGTTCCAAATAGGGAAAGGAGTATGTGTTAGTCATGCCTTCTACAAATAACCTAAAGATGGCCTCAAATATACCAGTCCCCCCGTCCCCCCATAACAGTAGACCCAAGAGATCCACTCAGAGTCAAGCAAAGAGCTCAGGAAAGAGATGAAGGAACGGCTCCCTGGCACTGATGGTACAAAACAACTCACAAAAGAAGGAATACAAATGCACCTGAAGCATTGGAGAAAAGATGTCACCTCTCTAACAGCCAACAGAATCAGAATTAAAATACCAAGGTGAAAAGAAAGGAGAAGAGAAAAAGGGAAATCTCAAACATTGCCAGAGAGAGGGTAATTTGGTAAGATTATCTTTGGGAAGCAACTTGGAAATATGTGTTAAGAATGTTTATAAACACGCTAAGCATTAAAAATAGCAAATATAAGTTCTGATCTTATAGTTTCATTTCCAGGACTACGTCCAAAGGAAATAAGTGGGAAGCGATTTGGAAACATGCATTAAGCATATTTATAAACATGTTAAACATTAAAAATGGCAAATATAACTTTTGATCTCATAGTTTCATTTCTAGGAATATGTCCAAAGGAAATAAGTGGTTTTGTCATGTTTGTGTATATGTGGGAGGTTTGGGGTAGAGTTCAGTGGACTTAGGGAGAGGGGTCAGGCCTTGATATTTATCCCTGAGTTTGCTTCATAAGTCCAGTGGTTCATGAGTTTTCCCTGGTGGTCCAGTGGTTAAGACTCCACACCCTCAATGCTTGGAGCACTGGTTCAATGCCTGGTGGGGGTACTAATCCTGCTTGCCACATGGTGTGGCTTAAAAACAAGTATCTGGAAAGCCCAGTGATTCATGATCTGCCTAAATGTCAGCACCACCTGAGAGACTGAAATATTCCTGATGCCTCTTGGCAATGGCCTATATGGGCAAAGAATCTAAATAAAAAAAGAAAGAAATATACTTGACGTCCAAAAGGGAGGGTGGCTCATTAAGTTCCAGTCTCTGAGGGTGGGGCTCACATTCTCACATGTTTCTTGCTCATTCTGATGTGTAGTCAGGGTTAAGAACCATTGGGTTTTCCCGGCAGACCTAAATCAAATACTGTTGCAATTGATTTTGAATAACTTATCCCTTGGGCTCCAAGTTTAGAAAAGGATGGGGAAATGTGGGGAAATAGGACTTCAGTTATGAAGATTTCCTTGCTCCTCAACACCAGGCTCATTCAGACTGTTCCCTCAGTGGACACAGCAGAGAAAGACAAGGTAGACATGGACCCTGTGCAAGGGACAAGGAAGACAGAGGCTGGACCAGATTGTGCTTGTGTTGACTTAAAAAGATGCACAACGTGACAGTTGTGAGTTAAGTTTTATTTGGGGCAAAAAGAGGACTGCAGCCCTGGAGCCAGTACCCCGAAAGCTTTGAGAAAAAGCTCTAAAGAGATAGCAGGGAAGGACAGTATATATGTGATTTTGATAAAGGGGGAATACATGCAGTCAAGCACATTTACTTTTTAGAAAGTTTCTGCTGGTCTCAGGAAGTTTCTGCTAGTCAGGAGAAACAGTCATCACCATGAAAGATTTTAGTCTTTTCTAGATACAGGAGATACAAGAATTGGGCTCATAAAATCAGCTCCTGAGAATATCTAACTCTCTGAAGACATGTCCTGCCAGTTTTATCCTGAGTACAAAGTGCCTCCTTTCTGCTCTCCACCCTGAACTCCTTCAAGACATGTTGAAGGTCAACAGCTGCAGCAGCACTTGATTTAATCTTTGTAGAGGTAGATAATGGGCTTCCCAGGTGGTGCTAGTGGTAAAGAACCTGCCTGCCAATGCAGGAGAAGTCGGGTTCAATCCTTGGGGAAGATTCCCTGGTGAAGGGCATGGCAACTCACTCCAGTATTCTTGCCTGGAGAATCCCATGGACAGAGGAGCCTGGTGGGCTACAGTCCACAGGTAGATGGCAAGTGCCAATTTGTAGTTGACACTTCCATGGAGCTTAGAGCCCATTGCAGAGAGAGGAAGAGAAAGGCGGGGGGGGGGGGAGCGTGGGGGAGGCGGAGGGAAGAAGGTGATGAAGGAGAATGGGGTGAAATTACATAAAAAAGTGAAGGAAGTCTCAGAGAGTGGAGAGTCCTGTAGAGAAAATAAAACAGGGGGATGGGTCGATGGGTCTGGGCTGGGGCAGCTGTCAGATGGGCAGACGTATCCACAGAGACGTCATATTTGAGCTTATACTCAGGTAGGAGAACCTCCAGCAGTGGAACTACCCCTCTGCAGGGAGTAGGGGTGGAGCTTTAAATAAAGTGAGAGAAGACCTCCAAAGATCTCTGAAGTGGGATGCGAAGGAGGAGGCCCAGACAGGGACTGTGGGAAGCGGGCAATGACCGATGGTGGCACTGAGCCTCTTGGCTCTAGGAGGGTGGGGAGTGGATGGATTCCGGGACATTCAGGGCAAAGCCACGGAAGCTTTGGGACCCTTTCTGTGTCTGTGCCCCTTCTTGTCCACTTTTACCTTTCCTTTTCTTTGCATTTTTTTGCTTTTTGTCTTCATACATTATTCTAGGCAGCTATACCCGAGTTTTACTCTTTGTTCAATCTTAAGGGCTTAGTTTGAAAAACCCAAGTGATCTCTGTGTTAGTTGGGCTTCTCCAGAGAAACAGAACTGAGAGAGAGAGAGAGACAGATGGACAGGGCGATTGATTTTAAAGAACTGGCCAACACTGTTGTGGAGGGTTGGTGCAGCCAAAGTCTGCAGGGGGAGCTAGCAGGCTGGAGACCCAGGGAAGAACTGACACTGCAGGTAAAGTCTGAAGGCCATCTGCTGGCAGAATTCCTTCCTGCTGAGGAAAAGGTCAGTCTTTGTTCTGTTTGGGCCTTCAATTGACTGGACAAGGCCCATCCACAGGAAGAAGAGTAATCTGCTTTTCTCAAAGCCCACCACTTTAATTTCATCCAAAAACACCTTCACAGAAACATCCAGACTAATATTTGACCACAGATCTGGATGCTGTGGCCCAGCTAAGTGGACATATAACATTAAACATTATAATCTCCAAAGGAATTGTTATGGGCCTTTTATGGCCTATATATTTTTATTTCTTTTTGAAGAATAAAAAAATCAGAATATAATTAGTATAAAGAGTCACAAGACTCGACAAGAAGGAAAAAACTAGAAGTAACATCTACTATTCAGTCCTCTGAGACACCCACTACAGACACGTGGCCGGATGTTTTTTGGATCTTTTTTTCTTCATATGTGGGTATAAAATACATTTTTAAAGAAAAACAGGACAACACTGTAACACTGAGTGTAGAGTACTGCATTTTTATTTCAGCCATAATGCTGGGTTTGGGATTTTCTCCAGTTGATTTCTTATTGTTGAGTATTTGAGATTCTTACCTTTTTCAAAAAACACAGAGAAGAAATTGGCTGAAAGTGAATTCAAATGAAAAAGCAGAGCTATTAGACTTTTCTCCATATTCTGGAGTTGTGCTTAGAGATGCAAAAAAGGTTGCAAAATAATCTCACAGTTCAACAAAATGATCAATATTCAAACCCCCCACATATGCATCTTTTAAACTATGCCTTTGTCCTGCCAGTTTGCTTTCATCAGATTGCTATAAGGAAAATTGCGGAAGCATAATGGAGGAGGGGACGATGGTGGGAGCAGGGGGCGGGTGGGGGAACAGGGGGCAGAGAACCTGAACAATGCGCTCCAGCTGATAGATGAGGTTTTACTTGTTTAATGAGATTCATATTTGGTATCTAGTATTTAAAAATTATCAATAAACAAAGTGGGAAATAATGGCAAGACTGAGTTTTTAGTCCTGCTTGTTTTCAGAGAACTATGCTTGTATCAGCCTTCCTCATTCTGTGTCAGAAAGAGACATGAGGACCCCCAGCCCCATCCCAAGCTTGGAGCCTGTCGCCTGTTACCAAAGCAAAGCATCCCTTTATTCTCCATCTGTAAGTGGTCTGTAGGGGCTATCCAGGTGGTGTCAGTGGTAAAGAATCTGCCTGCTAATGCAGGAGATGCAAGAGCCGCAGGTTCAGTTCTTGAGTCGGGAAGATCCCCTGGAGGAGGAAATAGCAACCCACTCCAGTATTCTTGCCTGGGAAATCCCATGGTCAGAGGAGCCTGGTGGGCTACAGTCCATGGAATCGCAACGAGTCGGACACGACTGAGCACAGGTGCATGTGCTCACACACACACACACACACGCACACACACACACACTGTAATAGCACTATAGCTCAGGCCTGAACAGAGCTCAGTTAACACGTATTTTCTCCGGCAGGCACATCACAGCCTTCCTGCACTTGGGAAACTAGACAGCTTGTCAGCAGTAGGCTTGGGGGCCAATTTCAATAGCAAGGTCACCAAGGAAAAGCACAAAAATGAGAAAAGCATGCCACAAAATGGACCATAAAAATGATTTGTGTACAGCCTGGGAGCCAGGACAAGGAGGAGAGCATCACCTTGTCTGTCCCTAGGCAGGAGCGTGTGCATCGGGCCACTCAAGTTCTTTGCAGCTCAGCGTATGTCCATGAGCGGCTGTGACAGCACCCAGGACTGACTTGAGGTTGAATATACATTTTAGGAAATTTGCAAGTATGGAATTGGTAAATAATGAGGCTCCACGGTAAAGGGAAGTCATTAGAAGAAGCTTGGAGTCAGGACACCCACGTCCTGGTTCTGTGGTCTCAGTGATGTTCTATGAACCTTCGTAGAGTGCTTCCTTCCCTGGTCTTCAGGATGAGGGTGCAGAACTGAGCGATAGCTGTGACAGTTGAAAGCTTTAGTGGTGGGAGATTCTGGCACCTTTTCTCTTGTGCAGGGAGAAACATTTCTAGCATGTGACCTTCAGAAACACATCTGTAGCAAGCTGCCACTTTGTTTTTGTGAAGGTCAACGCCCTGGACGAGGACAGCTTGACCATGGACCTAGAGTTCAGGATTCAAGAGACGACATGCAGGAGGGAATCGGAGGCAGACCCCGCCACCTGTGACTTCCAGAGGGGCTACCACGTGGTGAGTGTGGGGCAAAGGCCACCAGCCTGGAAACAAATGCGAGGAGCTCTGCCTTCCTCCATCACCCGGAGCTATTCAAAGTCACCCTGAGGTCTTGGCCATGTCTGGTGTCCGGCCACCCTTCTAGGCACCATTAACTGTGTCCACGCTGTTCCCTGGGTGGGAGCGGTGTGACTCTGTGGTCAAGGACTTAAGCTCTGAAGTCTGCCATCCTGAATAATCATGGCAAATCATTTAACCCCTGTTGCCTCAGTTTTCTGCTCTTTAAAATGGGCATAATAATGGTGCCAGGCAAAGTGAATACAAAGGGGCCAATAGCAAAGAAAAATCCCTGAGACATTTCGCATTCTATCTTAAATGAGTTCAAAATGCCAGCTGTGTTCCTGGGGCGAGGTGCATATTTTGTAGTTGACTGTCATGCAAAAATCCGTCTCCCCCACCAGCTTGCACTCCACGGGGGTCAGGACTGTAGCCTGGTCAGTTCTGTTTCTCCGGTGACCAGCACATGGCCCCACGCTTGGTTATCCCCAGGCGTAGGAGCCCACCTGCACAGGCCAGCACCACCACCCCAGACTCACTCTCCGAGGTGTTGTTCCAAGGGTGTCAGCGTTTTGTTATTTTACTGGTGTGAAGACGTCTGTTTTGCTACATAGCAATATCAATTCTGAAAAGAAGACCCTTTGCTTTGTTGTTCCGTGGAAATTTTTGCCGTGATTGTTTCACAAACACCCCAAACCTGAGTGTCACTAGCATCTGAAGGAAATCTGAGACCAAGGGAGAGGAGAGCAGAGGCCTTTGGGGATCTTCCCAGTTCTTGTTGTCATGGGAAACCATGCAAGGTAACCAGCTCAGTGCTCAGGAAGGGAATGTTTGCCCTCCGGGGGACTTGTAATGTAGCAAATGCTTAAGAGATGTTTCAGTCATCCTTTGCTTCTGCTTAGGTTTTGAGACATTTTTGTTTTGGAAAAATGAAATGACTGAATTTTTCCTTTCTGTTTGCACCATTGTGCCCAGTGCTATGATGTTGCCTGATTTCGTGGGCAGGTCCTAACATTTACACGAGCTGCTGGGCAAAGAACTCACTGTTTCTCTTTTTCCAGCCCATAGCGGTTTGCAGAAGCACCGTGCGGATGTCTGCAGAGCGCGCGCAGGATGTGTGGGTCCGCTGCCACTGGCCCTCCAGCTCCGGGTCCAGCAGCAGTGAAGAGGTGCGCACAGGGGCTTGGCATCCCTCGAGGTGGGACAGAGTAGCTGGACCATCACCAGGGGCCTGGGCAAGTGTCTGAACCTGCACACTCGTGTTCATTATCCCTTACTTCTTCCAATCCCACCCCTATAAGATGTTGAACATGAGCTTAAGAAAACAATGAGCAAAAGTTCTAGATTTAAGCCTGCAGTTCACTGCCTCTCTGGGTTAGTGGGATGAAGGGGGGCATTTTTGATAGATGAGTGTTCATTTACTAGCTCTGCAATCTAGTTCAGGATACTTAATCTCCATGATCTGAGGCTTCTCCATCTGTTAAATGCCAGTACTAAAGACCACCCAATAGGATGTTGAGGAAACCAAGTAAGTTCATGGTCCAGAGTCTAGCACATAACAGATGCTCAGTAAATGACAGGACACATCTTTTCCCCTCAATTGCATTGATAATCATCTGCAATAATACTGAGAAATCAGTAACATGTAAAATTCTGACTTGGAACTATATTTCTTACTGAAGTATGTATCTCATGAGGGCAGGGAATGTTTGTTTCATTGTCTAGGACAATGTTTGATACAGGGTAGAAGTTAAGTCAATAATTAAACACATACAATAAAACTGAGGAAGAAATTTTACCGATATGATACATTGATACATGTAATATGATATGAGGAATATGATATGAGAAGGAAACCTCTATACTCTAGCTTGGGATAAAAGCATAACTGTTATATGTTTGTTTATTCATAATGGGGTAATCTATCCTTCTCTGCTATTTAAAGATGTTTCTACCATTACAAAGCCAAATCTGAACAACATCTTTCTCTACTTATACTTTTATTCATTTTTTCAAGGTTTAAATCTGTAGTGAAAATTACATGAGAAAAGTAAACAATTTCAACTTCAAGAATTACACATAAAAGTAATGTTTCTCTATTACGAACATACCCAGGCCCTACATATGTTTATTTATTTTTTTATTGCCTCACCATTTGGCATGTGGGATCTTAATTCCCAGACCAGAGAATGAACCCATGACTCCTGCATTGGGAGCATAGAGTCTTAGCCACTGGACTGCCAGGAAGACCTGGGCCTTACATATTTAATATGGAAGTCCATTTTAGAGTTAGGAAGGAGTGACACTCATGACTGAGGAACTTCTGTTGCAGTTCAGTTCAGTCGCTCAGTTGTGTCAGACTCTTTGCAACCCCATGGACTGCAGCACGCCAGTCTCCCTTATTCACCTGCAGCTTCCGGAGCTTGCTCAAATTCATGTCCATCGAGTCGGTGATGCCATCCAACCATCTCATCCTCTGTCGTCCTCTTCACCCACCTTCAACCTTTCCCAGCATCAGGGTCTTTTCAAATGAGTCAGCTCTTTGCATCAGGTGGCCAGGGTATTGGAGTTTCAGCTTCAGCATCAGTCCTTCCAATGAATATTCAGGACTGATGTCCTTTTGGATGGACTGGTTGGATCTCCTTGTAGTCCAAGGGACTCTCAAGAGTCTTCTCCAACACCACAGGGGTGGTTTTAGTGTTATAAGGAGGATTCTGCAAAAATGTTCAGTTGAGCATAACCTTGTTGATCGATCTTGTTCTCACTGGTGATGTCTGGGGGTCAATCTCCAGGTGATTTCTGGGTGATTTCCCCGCATCCTGTCTCCATGATGCTAGTTCAGGTACCCAGGGCCTCCTGTTTGACTCCAGTAAAGAATTCAGGAAGTGACGTGAGCTTCACAGCTGACACGCTGGTGCCTGCCGGGCCAAGCTAAGCCAGAAGTGGCAAGGACCAAGCATCACGTCACAAGCATTTTGTGTTGACTTTGTGGTTTATGTGGGGGAAGCCAGGAGACAGCCAGGAGCAAGAAAAGCACAGTCCTGGCCCTTGTGGAGTCTGTAGACCAGTCTGGGGTGTCCGTTGAGCTGGGGCTACCCTGACTACCAGGCAGGCTTTTGGCAACACACGGGGGGAGGATGGGAGCACGTGGGGCAGAGCAGGTTTCCAGGGAAACTAGAGAGTGGGTGACCTCAGGATGAAGTGCACGGGGTGTGGAGGGGCGGGAGGGAGAGATTTCAAGCCCAGGGAGAGCACGACGGAGTTCCTGAGGGCGAGAGAAGCTAAGCTGACGGGTGGAAACGGAGAGAAATCCACTGTAACTGGGAGCAGAATGTGAGAAGAGGGGCAGAAGGTGGGGCTGGAGAGGACTCGAGCCTGGCCAAGGTGGACCTCGTGGGTCTTGTCAGCATCCTTGGCTTGGGGCCACTCGAGAATTCTAAGTAGGGAGGTGACCGAATAGATGGAGAACAGATTGGAGCTAGGTAAGAATGGAGCGGTGGGAGGCTGGCAGGGTAGGTGAGAGCGGATGCTAAGGAGAGCTGGGAGTTAGTGGCGAATGTCCCGAGACAGGGATGCCGGTTCTCCTGTGACCTTTAACACAGTAGACATTGACAAGTGGGCCCCAGTTTAATCCCTCTTCCATCTCCGATTTGGGAAGTTGATTCTGATTGCTTGCACAGTCCACAAACCTGTTGCAATTTTCTCATCACAGACTGAAAGCTACTCACTTTTCTTCCAATCCCAACTTTTGTGTGAAGACTCTGATAGAAAGTTAGTCCCTGAAACAAACACAATTTTTAAAATAAACTCCCAGGTTGCTTTCCCTCAGAGATTAGGAAACGGTAAAAAAGTATGAGCAAATAAAAAATTCCTTAAATTAAATGATTCTGCAAATTGAAAGAAAGAGGAGAAAGCAGATGGAGGTTTAAAGTAATTCCTGGAAACTCTAAAATAGATTTCTTATATGAAACAGGAAGAAAAATTAGATGACAGCTGTTAACCATTTTCAGTGAAATAAATGGTGGTACTACAAACGTGAAAGACAATGGAATGGGATGAATTTAGACAAAGAACAAATAAATCATTGTTGGAAGTAGGGAATAAAAGAAAACTGAAAAAAAAAACCCCTCAGAGTAATGAATATAAAGACCACTTGAAAAACATATGTAGATAGTAAAAGAATTTCCAGAGAAAGGAATATAATGTAAAGAAAGATGGAAGCCAAAAATAGAGAATAAGACCAAAAAGTCCCAATTATTATAAAATAAGACTTAGCTCAAATTGAAAATATCTGACAAGAATAAAGTAAAAGAAAGTGTCTCTAATATAGAAAACTTGGGTTTTTCACCACATAATTATAATAAGTTCAAAAGCTTTGTTAAAAGGTTTGAAGAAATAAATTTCTAAAATTGAAAATATTCTTTCTTAACCAAATAAATATTAAATTATGGGTAGTTTTAATGATTTTTATAATTTTAGTATTTTATAAAATATTTTAATAATTAAGTATATTTTCTATTATTGTTATATTTTTAATATTTAAAATAGATACTTAAATTATGGGTAGTTTTAATTATTTTAAAATATTTTAATACTATTTCTATATTTAAATGTATTTTATGTATTTTTATATTTTTTAAATTTGTAAGAGAAGTATGTAGAGGGTAAACAATTTCTATATGGCACATCAGTCAACCACACGATTGCAATGCTAACATCTGTAGCTTGGTGAATGGACTTGACTTTGGGCAAATCTTTCTGATTTAGAGTGGGTAGGATGAAGTTTGAAAGAGTTCAGCCTTGAGACCCAAAACAGTCCAGAAGGAGAAACTGAGAAAGAATGAACAGGAATTCTGAACTCGGGGGAGGAGAGTTACGAGTATTTCATTTGTCTACTCTCTTCCATTTCAAATGATAGAACTTTACCTAGAAGTGGTCCAAGCCAAAATGAGGGAATGCCTTGACTCACATTCCCAGAGTGAATGGCAGGAGTTGTGCTTGCGGATGACTCAGTTTAGGGACCGTCCACACTACCGATGCCACATTCATCTTTTCCTTCTCCCCTCCTCTTACTGCTCATGACTTTTCTCCTTGCAGCAGGAGGCAAGACTACAAGCCACTCCAGATTCATATCCTCCAGACTGAGCCTTTCTCTCTAACCTCTTGGCATCCCTACCATTGGCCTGGCTTGGGTCATGTGTCTCATTAAAAAGAAATAATGCTGTTACTGAAATATAATTCACAGACCATACAATTCACCCACTTAATGTGTATAATTCACCCAGTGGTTTTGAGTATATTCAAATGTTGTACAACTGTCACTGCTATCTAAATCCTGAACATTTTATCATCCCCAAAAGAAACTCCAATACCCCTTTCTCTTACCCTATTCTTTCCAACACTCAGTAACCACTAATCTATTGGTATTTTCTTTGTCTATGAAGCTACTTTTCTGGCCATTTAATATGAATAGAAACATACAATATGTTTTCTTTTGCGACTGGTTTATCTCAGCACGTTTGGAGGTTCATACATGTTGTAGCATGTATCAATACTTTTTATGTGGTGAAATAACAATCCATTGTATGGATAAACCACATTTGATTTATCCATTCATTAGTTGATCAAAATTGGGGTTGTTTCTACTTTTTGGCTGTTTTAAATAATGATGCTATGAGCATTCATGTACAAGTTTTTGTGCAGGCATGTATTTTTATCTATCTCAGATATTCACGTACAAATGGAATTTCTGGAGCATAAACTAACTTTATGTGTTAATTTTTGAGAAACTGCCAAGTAGTTTTCCATAATAGTTATACAATGTTATATTTCCACCAGCAATATATGAGAGTTCCAATTTAGTATATCCTTATCAACACTTGTTATTGTCTGTCTTTTTATTTGAGTCATTCTAATGAATGTGAAGTGGTATCTAATTAAGATTTTGATTTGCATTATCCCAATGAGCAATACTCTGGAGAAGGAAATGGCCACCTACTCCAGTACTCTTGCCTGGAAAGTTCCATGGATGGAGGAGCCTGGTGGGCTATAGTCCATGGGGCTGCAAATAGTCGAACATGACTGAGTGACTTCACTTCGCTAATAAGTAATGATCAGCTATTTGTATATCTTTTTTGGAGAAATGTCTACTTGAATCCTTTTTCAATTTTAAATTGGGTTATTTGTCTTCTTGTTGTTGGGCAGGAAGAGTTCTTTATATATTTTGTATATAAGTTCCAAAAAAATTGCAAATGTTTTCTCCCATCTGTAAGGTTTTTTTCTTTCTTGATGGTACCCTTTGAAGAACAAAAGTTTTACATTTAATGAAGTCAAGTTGATCTATTTTTTCTCTTGTTGTTTGTCTGAGCCTTTCATTGAGATTCATGGCCCGCTTTGATTAGGAAGGGATCCAGCTTCATCTTTTTGCATGTGGATATCCAGTTGCCTCAGCACCATTTATTGAAAAGTAATTCTTTCCCCCACTGAACTGTGCCCCCTCCTAGACCAGTCACGCTTACAAAGGCCAGCAGGCTTACTGGCTGTTAAGGATGGAGAGGGTGACATTTAGGTGGCCCAGACACCTGCAAGAAAGGTTTTGAGCCAAACAGCTGCCTTACTTGTGACTCTGGGCTTTCATGGGCTTTCTTGGTGACTCAGCTGGTAAAGAATCCGCCTGCAATGCGGGAGACCTGGGTTAGATCCCTGGGTTGGGAAGATCCCCTGGAGAAGGGAAAGGCTACCCATTCCAGTATTCTGGCCTGGAGAATTCCATGGAATACAGTCCATGGGGTTGCAAAGAGTCAGGCTCAACAGAGCAACTTTCACTTCACTGGACTTTTGGTGGCTTCATGAAGACTTCTCATGCACAACTTTCCTATTGAACACATATGAGGACTTCACAGAAAGAAAACTCCCAAATTTGACCTGAACACAGTCTGTCTGCAAGTCCATGTGATGAAGTTCCTTCTTTCTGGTCCGCATCTGGGACTCATTTTGAGTCTAGTGGAAATCTTTTTAGATGATTTAAACTTCATGTAAGTTGTTCTTCCCCATGTACTTTTTTGGACACACATGGCTTCCCTGGTGGCTCAAGGGTAAAGAACCTGCCTGCCAATGCAGGAGGTCTGGGGTAGAGTTCAGTCAAGTTAGGGAGAGGGGTCAGGCCTTGATATTTATCCCTGAGTTTGCTTCATAAGCCCAGTGGTTCATCAGACTTTCCTGGTGGTCCAGTGTGGTTAAGACTCAGCACTGTCAGTGCAGGAGACATGGGTTCAACCCCTGGATGGGAAGATCCTCCTGGATAAGGAAATGGCAACCCAGTCCAGTGTTCTTGCCTGGGAAATCCCATGGACAGAGGAGCCTGGCAGGCTACAGTTCATGGGGTCACAAAGGGTCAGATACGACTCAGTGACTAAACACCAATAAGTTCTAAACCATACATTAATTAAAGTTATCTAATATAGCTTATTGCCTTATTTCATTAAAAAGTTGTATGAGTCTTCCAGTTAATAGTTGCATATTTTGTAGTGTCTTTCCTTTTTCTCTTTCATGTGCTGATATACACCAATGCCTGAATTAGATGTTTTTTGGGGATATCCTGGGATCCTCTACATCAAGAAACAGTTACCTGCTTGGTAAGTTGAGACCTTTTTAATATTAAGATCTTTTTAATATTTTTTTCGTGAATTAACTTCATATTGAAGCTCTCTATCAGGGAGTCATTTAAAACAGGAAATAGCTCTATATAAGCTTTGTACAATGACAGAATTTATGGACAATAAACATTTGCTTTTGCTCCTTTCTTAACAGTAGGCAAAAATGACACAACTCCTCATTTAGGCAACTCTTTTCATTTATGCAGAGACTTTCCAGACATATTTCCATTTCACAGCTCTAACATCTCTGCCGGTTAGTCAGGACAGTTGCTGGTTCTCACCCTAAGATGGTTCCCAACTTGAACATACTTGTTCCTTCCTGGGTGTAAGACCAGTTTTAGGACTCAGGTATGCAATGACACATGAGCTTCCCAGGTGGCTTCGTGGTAAAGAATCCACCTGCCAATATGGGAGATGCAAGAAAGGCAGGTTCAATCCTTGGGTTGGGAAGATCCCTTGGAGGAGGAAATGGCAACCCATTCCAGTGTTCTTACCTGGACAATCCCATGGGCAGAGGTGCCTGGTGGGCTGCACTACGTGGAGTCACAAAGAGTTGGACATGACTGAGCACACACACACATGCAACAGTGCATATGTGGAAGGATCTGGACTAGGCCTCAACCAACTGGTTGGGGCTGTAACCCTCCAGCCAGGTCACCAGAGCTGACCATCCCTTCTAGAATCTTGCTTGGGAGAGGGAGGGCTCTCCGTTTCCCCTTCATAATCAGTCTATCACTTGAAGTCGGGTCAGATTAGTGTTCTTTGGCTTAGGAAACATTTTTGCATGTGAGCTCAGTTGTATCCAACTCTTTGTGACCCCATGAACTGTAACCTGCCAGGTAACTCTGTCCATGGAATTTTCCAGGCAAGAATACTGGGGTGGGCTGCTATTTTTTCCTCCAGGGGAACTTCCTGACCCAGGGATCTACCCAGAGCCTCCTAGATCTCCTTGCATTGCATCTCTTGCATTGCAGGCAGATTATTTACCACTGAGCTATCAGGGAAGCAGAAACCATTTTTACCTGTTGATAAAATAGTTAAATGAGAGGATTTTCCCTATTGGAGCTGAATGCTGTGAAACCCCTTGGTGATCTTCCACTGCTTCCTTGCAGGAAAGGTGTATTTGTGGCATCAATAATAAAACCATAGAACATTCCAGAAGTGGGCAGTCATAATTGTCTTATGACTATTACTGTGTTACAGGTCTCACTCCTGACAGATCCAGAGATGAACCGCTTTATGAACGATCACGTGGTAAGTGGTCCTGTTTTCTTCTGCCAGATACCAACACATCCTCTTTTGATCAAGCCAGAATGCACTGAAGCCATGTCATAGGAGATAAACCCCTGAAATACAAAATATTTTAAAGGAAAATGAGAAGAACTATCGTGCATAAACTTGTTTTGCATATCACTGAAAAGCTGACTTTGAGGCATTGAAACTCATTTGAAATTTATCAGGATTCAAAGTATCAAATCTGGCAGAGAAAATTAGCACTGACCTCCCTCCTGTCCAAGGCTGCAACATTTTCTAAAAATCCCAAGCTCTTATGAGTTCCTCTTTACCCTCCACCTTCAACTGTACTTTTCAGCAAGCAGACAGAGCCATCAGTTATTTAGTTTCTCCCTTTTATAATAGGTTTTCTCATTTAACCATCACGATGGCTCTATAAACCAGGAGTATTATCTATTTACACAGAAGAAGTGAGTAACAACTCATGATGTTTGTTGTGACACAAAATACCCTCTACTAAATGTTTGACAGTTTTCTCCTTCAGCTTCACAACCACCTTGACAGGAACACTATGTTCCTTCCCATTTTGCAGATGAGCAAGCTGAGGCTTAGTGAGCTTCTGTAGCTTCTTCAAGGCTTCACGGCTGATGTAGAACTTTGATTCAGGTGGGGAGTGGCAGACACAGGACCTAGAGACAGATCTGTCAGACTCTGGTTTCTGTTTCTTCCAGGCCACTTTCCAGAAAAATTGTGAAATTTACTCTCTGATCAGAGTTCTCTATTACCATAACACAGGCTTAGGAAACATTTTTGCATGTGAGCTCAGTTGTGTTTCATTGAACTCAACGTCTGACCGTCCTTCAGCTTACTCCCAATTTATCTGAAGTACTAAAGCTCACAATATGAGGCTTGCTTACAAGAAGTGCCTAAGTTTAGACCTCCTTTGTTGTGCCTTTTTGAAAGAAATACAGTTATTCTAACAATGTGACTACTACTGAGAACAGTTTTGAACACTTGTTTTTGGAATTACCTGCAGATTCTAGGGCCCATTCTTTTGAGTCTGTAGTGGTGGAAAGCTTGTGCTCTTGGATTTAATTTTGGAAATAAACTCAGTTAATTAGATTAATAACCAATTTGGGTGCATTAGTCGTCTATTGTTGTTGTTAAGTCGCTAAGTCGTGTCCAGCTTTGTGACACCATGGACTGCAACACGCTAGGCTCCTCTGTCCTCCACTAACTCCTGGAGTTTTGCTCAAATTCATGTCCATCTATTGAGGTATGTCAAATGACCATACAGCCTAGCAGCTTAAAACAGCAAATGTTTATTGTCTGACAGTTTCTGGGTCAGGAACCCAGCAGTAGCTTAGCTGGGTGTTTCTGGCTCAGAGTGTCTAGAAGGTGGCAGGGAAATTATTGACCATAGCTGAGACCTCATCTGAAGGCTTGACTGGGCCTGAGGGACCCACTGCCAAGGTTACTCAGGTGGTGGTTGGCAGGGCTCAGTTCTTGGGGGCTATTGGACTGAGGGCTTTGGTTTCTCAGCATATGGGCCTTTCCACAGAGCTTTCTGAGTGTCCTCAACGCATGAAAACTGACTTCTGCCAGAGAACATGATCAGAAAGAGAGGGAGAGAGAGGACTGAACAAGCAAGAGAACATTCAAGACACACAGTCTTTTATTTCCTGATTTTGCAAGTGATATAGCATCACTTCTGCATAGTTTACTAACCACACACACTGACCCTGCTCTGATGTGGGAGAATACTCAAGACTGAATACCACCACGTGTCCATCTTGGGGGCTGGCTACCACACTGGGAAGATGTCATTTGGGACATATACATATCTATGTGGATATAAATTAATGTGACGGATCCTTTTTATATTCCTCGGAAGATAATCCCAGAGCTGAGTTCTAAAATCATTTTGGGCTTTGGGGCCATCACTGACTCGGATGTGCAGCCATCTCGGAGACTGCTTTGAATACGACAATTCAATTTAATTCAACAAATGCGTGTGACAGGCCCCGGGCAGATCCCGCGGAGGACTGAGGGATCAGTGTGACAGCCCCTGCCCTCGAGGGCTTGCGGAGACACATTCAGCTGTAACGCCACTGAGGAGAGTGAGAGAGGTTTGACAAGGAAGATGAGGTCATCGCGTTCCTGGGGAGCCTCTTGGCAGTAGGGGCTCAGGAGGTGCTGGTCACAGTCCCTCTCGTTAACGCACACTCGCTCAGTCTTGCGTTGTCTGAGGTCTAGATGTGAATGACAGAGCCCGTATATTCCCTTTTTGTCTTCAGAGATGAGAAGAAACTTTCCTCTTGGAAATAGAAGGTACTCAAACCCGTGGTCCAGAGCAAGAGTAAACCCTGGCTTTGAGTGACAGCCTCAAGGTAAGGGAACATGGCTAAAAACACGCATAATTGGAAATAGAAGCGACTGGAAGGAATGCCTTAAAGCTGTTGCCACTGCACCTCCAAATGTCTGCAGTCCGCTCATCAGCTCCCATCTCACCTCCCACCTTCTCTTCTCTCCTCCTGTATCCTGATCCTCAACTGTCTCTTCACTTTTTTTCACTCTTTTCCCCGTGGCTTTTGTTTGCTGATGTCAATGTGTTCAAATTTCTCCACTTTAAGAGCAAAAATTAAACAGCGAACAAACAGAACGGCCCTTTCCTTTGACCCAGCCTCTTCATCCTGACAGCTGCCTCCTTCTCTCCCTCCTCCCTTGTTGGGTAAGATTTTTGATGATGATGATGTGTGTGTACTTAGTCATTCAGTCATATCAGGCTCTTTGCGACCCCCACCATGGACTATAGCCCACCAGGCTCCTGTGTCCATGGGATTTCCCAGGCAGGAATACTGGAGTGGGTTGCCATTTTCTTCTCCAGGGGATCTTCACGACCCAGGGATGGAATCTGCATGATGTCTCCTCTGTCTCCTGCATTGCGGGCAGATTCTTTACCACTGAGCCACTGGGAAAGCCCTAAGCTTCTTGACAAAATTGTGGTCCAAGGCTGCGGCCGTTACCTGCCCACCTCCAATTCACTTTTTGTTTTTTTGCCAAGTGGATATTAGCCCTTCAAATCTCTGATGTCTAATCTGCCTTCCTTTTCTTGATCAGTCATTTAAATCCTGATGGCCGTTCATGCGATCTCCTTCACCCACTTCTTCCCTCCTTCTGTTACCTCTTCCACATGCCTGTTTTCCAAATACACATTGCTCACCTCACTGTACCCTGAGATCCAGGCTCTTACATCAGCTGCCCACTGCATGCAGTTGCAGTAAGCATCCTTGAGCCCTTGACACTCAAATAGCCTCCTCTTCAGTCTTACTAGAGGCATCACCACCACTGAATTTTCTCCTGTTCAAAATTTTATAGTGTCATTTGCTTTTTAAAATTTTTGTTGAAGTATAATCAGTTTATGGTGTGTGTTATTATACTTTCAGATGTATAGCAAAATAATTCAGTTATATACATATATGTCTTTTTTTTTTTTTAAGATTCTTTTCCATCACAGGTTACATAGTCATTGGCTCTTCTTTACCCTTCATCTTCTCCCAACATCCACAGGGGTCCTATTGATTTTGCCCACATATTTTCTCTGGCTTTAGCCCATCATTGCATCACCATCACCACTCACATCGCGCCATCTTGCCTCAGCTCCTGATTCCACACTGTCCACCTTTCATGTGGCCCTCAGGTTTATCTGGAAACGCAGAGGAGATTTTGACCCTTCTCCATGGACTCCTTCACTTATAGGACAAGGTAGAGGCAGACCCTGAGCCAAGAGGAAGGACATCCCATTTGCCCTGGTGCTGGAGACTGAGCCCTGGTTTTGCAAACCCACAATGGGCACCACTGAGTCTCAGGCATGTATTTAATAAACTCTCAGTTACCCGGGACTGGAGCAAAGGCAGTTTTGTCTTTTTAAAGCCTCCCAAGTGGAAAAGGTCCTGGCAACCCACTCCGGTATTCTTGTCTGGAGAGTCCCACGGATGAAGGAGCCTGTTGGGCTTCAGTCAGTGGGATCACACAAAGAGCTGGACATGACTGAGAAGCTAACAAGTACTAAAGGAACATGGTGAAGTCACATTTAAAAGGAATTTTTGGATATAATTATACTTATAGACTCAGTGAACATTCATTCTCACACACAGACACACATAAGTTAATCATGAAGCCGGGGCTGACACAGATGTTTAAGTTTATGTAACACTGTATGCTTTAAGGATAAAGTCCAAATTCCTAGTGCGTCCTGCAATGGCCTTTATGGTCCATCCCTTGCCCACTTCTCCAGCCTCATTGCTCCCAAGGCCACCAGTCCTGAAGCTCTTGTGACACTGAAATACCTGCTGAGATCTCTATCTGGAACATTAAAAAGTGAAGTGAAAGTGTTAGTTGCTCAGTCATGTCCGACTCTTTGTGACCCCGTGGACTGTAGCCCACCAGGCTCCTGTCCATGAGATTCTCCAGGCAAGAATACTGGAGTGAGTTGTCATTCCCTTCTCCAGGGGATCTTTCCAACCCAAGGATCGAAGCAGGGTCTCATGCATTGCAGGCAGATTCTTTACCATCTGAACCACCAGGGAAGACCTACCTGGAACATCCACCTAGCTAATTCCTCTTCCTCACTTACATCTCAGCTCAGCTCAGCGTTACTTCCCCTTAAGGGTCTACCCAAGTCAGAGTAATGTTCCTTTATGGGTTCCCCTATTGCCAGGAGAAATACCAATAACCTCAAATACACAGATGACACCACCCTTACGGCAGAAAGTGAAGAGAAACTAAAAAGCCTCTTGATGAAAGTGAAAGAGGAGAGTGCAAAAGCTGGCTGAAAACTCAACATTCAAAAAGAAAGATCATGGCATCCGGCCCCATCACATCGTGGAAAATAGATGGGGAAACAGTGGAAACAGGGAGAGACTTTATTTTCTTGGGTTCCAAAATCCCTGCAGAAGGTGACTGCAGGCATGAAATTAAAAGATGTTTGCCCCTTGGAAGAAAAGCCATAGCTTGCTCATAAGCAACCTAGACAGCACATCACTTTGCTGACAAAGGTCTGTCTAGTCAAAGCTATGGTTTTTCCAGTAGTCGTGTATGGATGTGAGAGTTGGACTATAAAGAAAGCTGAGTGCCAAAGAATTGATGCTTTTGAACTGTGGTGTTGAAGAGGACTCTTGAGAGTCCCTTGGACTGCAAGGAGATCCAACCAGTCCATCCTAAAGGAAATCAATCCTGAATGTTCATTGGAAGGACTGAAGCTGAAGCTCCAATACTTTGACCACCTAATGCGAAGAACTGACTCATTGGAAAAGACCCTGATGCTGGGAAAGTTTGAAGGTGGAAGGAGAAGGGGATGACAGAGGATGAGATGGTTGGATGGCACCACTGACTCGATGGACATGAGTCTGAGTAACCTCTGGGAGTTGGTGATGGACAGAGAAGCCTGGTGTGTTGCAGTCCACGGGTTTGCAAAGAGTCGGACACAACTGAGCAACTGAACTGAACTGAAGTCCCCATGACAGGGCGCTGCAATTACCCATTTCCTTTCTGCTTCATCTGACTCCCCGGGTCCCCCAGGGAAGGGCTGAGATAATTTCTTTTGCTAGCATCTCCCAGGGCTCCACACAGAGCCAGGCACCCAGCAAGCAGCAGAAAGTACTTTTTTTTTTTGAGTGGATGACAGAATCTTTCATTTTGGATATTGAGCTTCTGTTATCAAAAAAGTCAGCTGAGCTTAGTGTGATTAATTTTTAACCGCCGGAATTTGAAAGAGGTCAACTGACATTTTAACTAAAGTCAAAGAGAAATTTACCAGCGAAGCTGTGTAGGATGAAAGATGCAAATGGTAGATTTTCTTTTGAATCTATGCTCACCCTAAAAATAACAACTAGCTTCAGGCTGAGATCAAGAGAGTACTGATTACAAAGAAACAGACTCATCAGATTCCTTTTTTATAAACTTAAATCATATCATTTGCTTTACAGAACATTCTCAAGGGGAAAAAATACAATTCTCAATGGATTGACTGTATGTTACTTATTAATGATTATACTGGATATGTATATAATAATTATATTATATATTATATTTTACTTTCTATATAATATAATTATTGTATTATATATAATGATTATATATATATATAATGACTATACTGGATGTATATATATGTGTGTGTGTGTGTGTGTGTGTGCATGCGCTCAGTTATGTCCAATTCTTTGAACAATCCCATGGACTGTAGTCTGCCAGGCTCTTCTGTCCATGGGATTCTCCAGGCAAGAATACTGGAGAGGGTTGACATCTTCTACTCCTGGGGATCTTTCTGACCCAGGGATTAAACACGGGGTCTCTTACATCTCCTGCACTGGCGGGCAGATTGCTTACCACTGTGCCACCTGAGAGCCATATATATAATGATTCTGATTTCTGTAAAGAAATTGGTCACTTAAGAAATGTTTCTTTAAAGGCAATACACACCAAAGGGCAAATGCTTCTGTCCGGGCCTGGGCACTGACCTTGCCTATCCTCCCAGTTATGACCCTGCACTCCCATGACCCTCAGCAGGGCAGGATCCCTAGAGTCCTAAGATAAGGCCTGCCTGGGGGGCCCAGTGAGGAGGCCAGTGCACCGTGTCTGGAGTCTGGTTCCAAGCTTTCTCTGCCGCTTTAGGAGGGGTGAAGATGACGCAGTCCTTCAACCCCTCGGGCTCAGCTTTTCAAAGATTTATGGTTATTATTATGTTTACTTTTGTCCCTGTTAGACCATGAGCTCCTTGAGGATGTGTTACCTTGTTATCCTTGTTATTTAGTTTAGTAGCAAGAAAATATGATTAATAATGTCTGTACTGTTACTAATAACAATATTCTTTGTCTAGTTCCTAATGCTCAAAATAATGTCTTTAATACAATGAGTTCCCTCAGGTTGAAAGAAAGGAATGAACCAATGCAGGACCAAATACAAGACTCTTTAAACTGAATGACATGCTTCCGGTGGGGAAAGGTCTCTGGAAGCAGAGTCTTTGGTTCATCTAGAATCAGAATCCTTGGAGCCTGGCTTACTTTCTGGAACAAATGAGGAGCTGAGGAAGTATTTTTGTAATTTAATAACCACTGTTCTAGGATTCTTTCAGACTGCTAGAAGATTTATTTAATATGTAGGAGTGGGTAGTGAAAGAGAGTGTTTCAACAAAGAGGTCTGAGATTCTTTTTCTTGTTTGCTACTTTGAAATAGGAATGGGGGAAAGCAGGTCCCAGGTCTCATGTTGAAAGGAATCTGTTTGAGAGGCTCACACTTTCTTGATCACCACAGTTGGCCTAGTTGTGACTTCTGCACGAGACAGTAGTCTGAAGACTGCAAACCTCACTGTCTGCATCCAAA